CTGTAATTAAATGACGGTTTTCAAAGGCATTTTGGTAAGGAACCGTCTGGTGCAAAGTCTTAATGCTCTTTTAAAACTGTTGAAATCATAATGAGTTTTAAAAGCCTATTTAGGACATTGTTACTTCTGTTAAGGAGATTAAAAGCGTTTGGTAGTAACAAATTATTATAAGTTTTCTTTTACTTTTATTTAGAGGAAGGTAAGTCGTAATTAAGCTTTTTTTATTAAAATATAATAAGTAAAAAAGGCAAGAAGTCTTTTGAAACGTCTTATTCAGATTTCTAAAGTGTTTTTAGAACATTAAGATTTTGCACCAGACAGTTCCGTTTAAACACACATTTGAAAACCTTGTCGTTTTAGTTTAGATTTTCGACCATGCGACCACATACATGCATCGAGGACATGTTATAAGGAAAATGACCGTGCGACCACATACACGCATCACAGGATTCCTCTTCTCTTATAAGAAAGGGACAAAGAGGTGTCCGCCCTTTTATTAAAGGGCAGACTGAAAATATGCCAATTCCTTATGTTATTGATAAGGCGGCTAATTTTCACTGCTATGTCTTGAATTGGTTTATATACAACAATAGTAATGCAAACTAAGTAAGGTTTCAGTTTACGTCCTTTTAAGTCCGCTATGAAATTTTAGAAAGATAATATTTAATTTCTTGAAAAATTTTGAGTTTTAAGAATTTTCGACTTTTCATTCTATGTATATGACAGAATTATTTTCATTTAAAAACATGAACGTTGTAAAAACGTTTTATATATGCCTTTACTATTGGAGATATACGTATTTCACACTTTGTTTTCAAATATTAACGGTTAACCTGGGGGCATTTTTACCAAAGTACGCATTTAATTTCTATATTCGACTTATTCTATTTGCAATGTAAAAGGTAATGTGATGGGCTGCAAGAAAAGTAGATTAAATTTGAGCAGGCGACAATTCTGAAATTCTGGCACTGGTAAGACTGTGAACATTTGCAAGTTTTATCTTACCTGCTGAATTTGTAAAATTCACTTTTCAAGCTTCCATTTTTTAGAACTGTCTATCAATCTGGGGATATCAAGACAGTCATAATTACAGAGCCGGTTAAGTCTGCACGGATGTGCAGCCTGGTATACATGTATCTCTATACTGGTTAAATCTTATCGGTTCCAGCAGTGTTAAGGTGCATTGTTGTTAACAGTAGTCATATGTACACAATTGTTTTTGGTCAAAGCTCATTCAAAATTGAAACAAAGTCTATTACACAGTTTTTAATCTGCCTTTATTTCTATGTAATTGTAGCATATGCCTTTAATCTTTCATTTGTTATATTTTTGCAACATGGAAAAGTTATCAATGCGATAGGTGCATCGAAGAAACAATTCCTAATGAGACACAGTAAACGTCATTACAAATCACACAAGAGTCCATTAGTTCCATGACATTTCACATTACCTGAAAATATAACGAATGACCACCCCACGTCTATGAACTCAACATTGAGTGGCATAACAGATTACTTACATACATAGGAAAATCTGTTCGTAGTGAATCTTGTTTTGTCTTTTAACTGCGTGTCAATTAAATGCTTTTTTTCATCATTGCGACATTTAATGGATGTTTAGCGCGGTTGCGACATTTAGCGGCAATAGTACTGCGACGGCAGTAGTAGTGCGACGTTTAGAGGCAAATGCGACATATTGGGCTAAATCGAAAAAACAAAACACTGCGATCCACCCCCAAATAATAGCTATGATTATCCGGATAATTTCTTCTATTATTTCAATTTACACTATGTTGGTCAATTAATTTAAATAACTTCCTTACTTGGGAGGCTACATTAACCAATGCCTTGTCTGATTTAAGAAAAACCTCTTGTTAATTTACAATGTAATAAATGTTACAACATCGAATCGTTAAGGTAGCAATTACATTATGATTGGAAGTAGTTTGGTGTTGTTTTCTTTATGTTGTTGATTTTTTTTAACTTAATGATGATATAACTTAATGTGTAAACATTTTCTGAGAACAACATTTTTCTGTTTTGTCATGCAACTTATTGGTCTGAAACATGTCTTCAATTGTTTCAGCTTAACCAAAAAATATACTATCTGGGTTGCTCGTCAAAAATGATAATTATGGACAGCTTCCGTGTCGGGTTGACTCTTACTTGGGTCCATTGGGCAATTCTCTCAGGGTTGTTTGTTTGTTTTTAAAGACTTTGGTCCCCAAACTCGTCTATGAAATATATCCGAAAGTAAAGGTGAAAATTTAATTTTCGATTTTCTACTTAGACCTCGTGTCGTTTAATAGTTATATAGATTATAAACGAGTACATATTCGTTTTCAGTGATGTTGCTGGTAGGATCGTAAAAAGCCATACTGTGCGATAAAGAGGTCTTTTATTAACGGTTACCTAAGTTTTGAAAAAAAAGGAAATGTGTCTTTAAGACTGTGTAACACTACTGAAGACATGTTATGCGGAATAGACTGATCTCTAGAGGCATTCCCAGAAGACGAAAATGTAGGACAAGACTAAAACAAATTTAAACGCTTTCAATAACTATATTCAGTAGCTCTTTACTCTCTTTAGCTATTTAAATGTTGGGTTTTTATTGTTGTTGTTGTCTTTTTATGTTCTAACTATGCAAAAAGGTATTCATTTGTCGATATGGTCAGACTTCTGCTATTCTTTAATGTTTTTTGTTTGTTTTTATATCGGTTTGATTTATTTAATTAATTTTAATGTTTACTTTGCTTTTCAGAACAGATTTCTTTATTTCCTTATACTGACGTCTTTTCAACAATTATATAACAACATATAATTTTGCAACAACATATACGGTTAATTGAAACTTCGTGCACGTGTGTATCACATTCGTCAAAACATCTATTCTTAAGATATAGGCATAAATATAGATAATATCATAAATCATTTAAATGAAAACTCTACTGAGAAAATATAAAGCAATATGCTAACCTTTCTAAACTCTGTATGCACTATATAAACCTCGGGTCCACCACTTCGGTATTCCGGAACTGACATGTTCTTTTCTTGTAAAATATATTTTCAAAATCGCACATATAGTTATTTTTGAGAGATCAAAATTTCATTGAGGAAAGCTTGAAGGGTTTGGCTCGTTTTTTGACATGGTCCAGCACCGTTTGTAAAATAAAAAGGTTAACTTTTTCGCGCTGGTCAGTTTTATGACCATTTGTGAAAAGAAGAAGTGTCGCTTGTTTTTGTTATTATTCGGTGTTTTATTTCAGCCAGAATTAACTCCAATTTAAACGGACAGAGTTTTATTGCATCTTCAACCACTTTGACTCGTTCAACCAGATTAATTATATAAATTAAACGAAATAAAACACCTTAGGGGTAGGTGTTACTTCATAGCTTTTTATCTGATACACTTTATTTCCCCATTTTCATACATTTAATAAAAGTGAAGAAATATATAATTATAGCAGTGCTGGAGTTAATGACATGTATCTATCTATACCTGAGAGAAAATAGTTTAAACTTACAAATATGGTGACTGGCTGATTTCTATCTATTTTATGCCGTTATCTTGCGAAAAGACAAACAGCGTTAACTATAAACTGTGTGTTGTTGCACGGCATGTTGTATACTGTATTTGTATAATGTAATATGGTGATGAGCTTGTAATGCTTAAACCAAGTTATACAATTTCTGTTCTGTTCTGTTCATATCAAAGCAAAATATAGTCATTTTTGTTATCAAAATAGGCTAAAACTATATTAGCTACATACAAAGGACGAGGCGAGTAATGCCGCAACAGACGAAAGAAAAAATGTTTGAAAAACGGCTAATTAAGTTTTTGAAGCCAGAACTATACAAGAAGTATCAATGTACGAGGGATGATCCAGAATCACCCTGCATGGATTAAGACATAGTTTCAATACTTATATCTTTACCATCAAAGGATCCCATTGGAAATAAGTTCTCTATTTTATATTGAACTTTCATGGGTTATCCTGTGTTGTATATACAAATAAATCAATAAAAAAAACAACACTATTTTAATGGGATAATATGTCATCTTAACAAGAAAACCGGACATATATTATCGTATAATGCAGAGGCACATTATATACCTCAGAGACGAATACATTTTCCTTTTTTAGAAAAGCCAAACACGAGTTTTAAAACGTTTAAACATGCTCGTCGTCACGATTTTGTGATTCGTGCGGCCAATTTGGTGGGTACGGGGACAGGCTCCCCCGGAATTTTTCATTCTATAGGATGCTCTCAGGAGTTTTCCCGTGTATTTGGTAAAAGTGTTCAAGCATGGTACGTGTTAATCACTTTCTTGCTTATCACATGAAGACAAACGGAGAAAATGTAGAATTTCGATTTCCATACAAAATAATAAATACACGAATAACTATACAGACGCAAAAGATGGTTCTGGTAATTGGCCAATGAGGTTTTTTTTTGGAAACTATGACAGGATACTAAAAATAAAATGTTTTTGAGAAATAAAAACATTTCTGGAGCATTATTGGACTTGTTTTTCTTGTAATCCTATGTAGTATTACCAAAATGTACATCTAGTGTAGATGTCACTGTTTATTTACATATCTACATTATTCAAATTAGTTTTTAGTTCAACTGAATATTGAATACAATAAGTTAAAATGAAGATTTAAATTAAAAAACAAAATGTTTTCCAAAACATTCATTGGAACATAACTTTATATAAAACTTTTATTTATATTTATTTGTTTATTTATTCATTCATTCATTCATTCATTCATTCATTCATTCATTCATTCATTCAATTCAATTCAATTCAATATATCAATTCAATTTATTTATTTATTTTGAAGAACTTTATTATCTATAGAGGAATATTTAGTGTTCTTATATCGCTGAACGAATAAAGCGATTTGTACGAACAATAAATATTATAAAAGACCGAAAACAGGTACTTCAACAGTATTAACCAATAGATTATAGTTTAACATTACTATTGACTAATCACAGCGCTCGTAACTTTCATGTATGGAGGAGTTAGCAACAGTGTCAACATCCGAAATGTGAAATTGCTTTTATTTTCTAATCAATTATCATACATTTAACTAATTATGGATATATTTGGAAGACGGCGACCGAAGCCATCTTTTCTCGGAGGAATCGACGAAGAAAACCCAACGTAAGATCTCTACACGTATACTTCAGAAATTTGTTTGTAAAAGTAAACAAATCGCACATAAAAAATTTCCTCCACTCCAGCAGTCTCCCTCCCGGGTGAATTGAACCCCACATATAACTGATGAACATTGGATACTGTTTTGATTATGTTCAACATAACAGCAAACATTATGTATATTTTTCACACAACATCTACAATCATTGCACCATTTGATTGGAAATTGTTGAATAATAGCAGAATTTAATATGAAAGTGGCAAAGCCTCAAAGAGAGCTCGATTTGCTTTTACCATGAAATAGTATAAAATAATCATTCATTTTTAGTTTACATTATTCCATTTTTTAAAACTGTCATTTTTTTATTTCATACACTCCTTCCATTTATTGTGGTTCCCTGTCCTAATACAAAAAAGGCAAAGCCTCAAAGCAAGCTCGATTTACTTTTACCGTGAAATGGAATAAAATAATTGTTCACTTTTATTTGACATTTTCCATTTTAAAATTGTCATTCGGTATTTTATACACTGCTTCCGTTTATTCTGGTTCCCTGTTTTATTATGGTTCCCATATAAGTGCGCAGGACACCAGGCAATGCTTCCGTTTTCAATTAGAATACCTCATCTTTTATCGTTCTCTTGTCATTCAAAAAGTTACAATGTGTCAAAAACCATCACTATCTAGCAGGTACTTGCGTTACTGTAAAGCTTGCTTTGCGAGCAGGCCCAAAAGGGCCAGCTCTTTTAGTTTGCTATTATGGTTCCTTTAAAAGTGGGCAGGACACCAGTCTACGCATCCGTTTTCAATCAGAATTCCTCGGCTTTTATCTTTATCTTGTAATTTGAGAAGTCGCTATGTGTCAATTCAGCACTATCGACGAAAGTTTTCGAAACCATCACTATCAACAGGGCTCACACTGGCTCAAATAAAATAATAGCCAATAATTTCAACTTAAAAAAATAATAGCCAAAAGTTCAGCGGACTATTCACGAATTAGTGATTAACAACATAAGCAGTTGATTCAATAAACATTACATTTATATCTTTCAGTTTTATAAGGATTCTCAAATAAACTGATACATTTGTGTATATTGATAACTACCTTTTTTTTTTAAATAGAACCACAACTTTAATTGTTATTATAGAACAGAATAAAAACGTTATAATTAGTATAATTACTGTATAACAATAATATTAAAGATTCATTATAACTTTACATAATGCTGTTATCAGACAACTTCTTTTGTTTGTTCTAATCAAATTTTGTCAGCTATAACCACTGTCAATTTCCACATTTCACCCAGAACTGGAGTAGATCCAGGTCATATTAGCCTATAGAAATAACACAAGTTTGCAAACTCATTCACAGAATGCAGCCTTTTTTCTGAATAATTTACTGAAAAATATCATCATCACCAATGTAATACAAATTTTCTGCCATAGTAGTAAAGATTTTTAAACAGAACACAGCTTATTTCACCTTTAAATAAATATCAAAATTATCGGTGTCGCGAAAATATGTGATAATCGGATTTTTCCTGTTTTCTGAAGAAATATTCACAATTTTGGTTGTTGTGCAAATAGTTGTTTGGAATTTAATACTTTTTAAATATTTTACCATTGTTTTCCACTGGCGATTTAGTCAAGTAGCTTAAAACAAACAAAAAAATCAAAATTTGCAATTGGAATTCACGGTAAATTTTGGGTAAGTCAATATCCAGTTTATCAATTTTAAAACGATTTTTGTGGCTAATTGACGGATATTTGATGGCTATTATAAATGCTGGACAATATCTTTAAAGTACTTATACAATTATACATCTCGCCTCGGGCAATATAGTTAGCAGCACGTGACCGGTAAAAAGTTGACACTCAATTAAATGCACCCCGCTGGTGTTAATTGGGTCTATTGCATTCATTATCGATTTTTACACCTTATATAAACACTGTTGGAATAAAAAAATAATCGCCAGATTTTGTAGCCAAAATGCAAAAATAATCGCCAATCTTATAAAATAATCGCAAATGGCGACTATGGCGACCGACAGCGTGAGCCCTGCTATCAAGCAGGTACTCGTGTTACCATTAAGCTCGCTTTGCAAGCAGGCCCTTTGGGCCAGTTCTTCGAGCTTGCTATTATATAGCTGTGTCCACAGAAGCTCTTAAATGATTTTCAAGGTTTTGAACAAAGTGAAACCTCAGTTAATATGAAATTAGGCAAAGCCTATGAACAGGGAAGTCATTAAAAAAATCCTTTCATTTTTCCGTTTTAAAGGTGTCATTCGGTATTTCATGCACCGCTTCCGTTTTCACTCGGAACACTCAACGATTATTATGTATCTGAAAAGTTGAGATTTGTTCCATTATCGGAATACCCTGCCTATTATCATTGAGTTACATTGTAAATAGCAGCGCCCGACTAGAATCGACACTGAAAATTTCATTGATAGGTATAGAATTCTATATATTTTTTAATTGCTTTTTATTTGATTTTCTTTTAAATATACATGTGTAGTTTATAGCCGGGCAAGCCAAATGCCACGCCCGCTTTGCTGGCCCGTTCAATGACTTCCCCGTATTATATACCCTGGATATACCTTGTCTACACCAGTTGTTCTAATTTAAGTCCCAATTGAGGTACATATGTAATCTTTGTCTTGCAAGAACACCATGAGATTTTTTTGGTAACAGTATACATTAGAAAGGGGTGTACTATCCACTGGTCAATGTCTTACCCATCCTCTTTATACAGGTCAGTTGTAGAAACTGGCCATTAGTAACACAATAAGTGACTTGTACTAAAGCAGTCTTCAAATTATTATTTGTATAAATGTGTTAATATTTCGATGATATATATTCTTTTGTTATAAAGCTCATTGCAAGATATGTAAGTTTAATAAAAAGTTTCATTTAAATTGTTATATGTGAAATATAGGAATGAAGGATGACAGAAAATGATGGTCTTTGGTCTGACAGAGTTGCTGTCTTTGCAAACTAACATACCAATCAGTTTTGTTATCAATCTACTATTAAGCTATTTAAAGGACAAACTATAGCAAAATGCATACTTTCATTCTGAGTCTATAAGGAGAGACATTATTGCATTAAAGACAATACTCAAAAGTAGCCTGAAATGAGGTTTCAAATGGTACCAAATATTTTTCCTAATTAAGCAATTTTACCATGCAAAATTTCCCAAACTGAGCTGGGTACTATTTCCCTAAAGAGCTACATGTATGTAGGAAAAGGCCTGATTTATTTAATGATGCCATTTAAGTGAACCTGGAAAGAACACATGCCCTGTCTGATGGATCATTCTCAAAAGATCTCTTACATACAATGTAGCAAACCCAAAAGAAAATAAAATGAAGTCAGGTGTCACATTGTTTTATGGGTATAACAGAATTTCATATGCTGCTTTCATCTAGATAGGAATTGTGATGATATTGTTGTAACATCTTTATTTACTGTCATGTTGCCATGAGGATTATTTACTACTTATGAATTATTATTCCTTTTCTCAAACTTTAGTTGTATGCTATTAATTTGTTTTCCTTCATTAAAGAAAAGTCTAAAAATGTCACACTTAGTTTCTTGTTGTTTTTTATAGAGATATAGGAAAATCTGAGCCAGAGAGAGTAATTCAAAGTCATAGTGAGAAAAATGATGATGAAAAAGAGAAGCAAGATGTTGAAGACAATAAAGATAATGCCAGCAGTAGTAGCAGCAGTGATTCCAGTGATGATGAAGATTTGCTGAGGTGAGCTTATTTTTGAGAAAATTAAAAAAAACGGATTGAACTTTCTTCATTAATACAAGATTTAGATCAAATTTCAAGGGTGTAAGCACAAGAAGAAGAATTTTTTGCTTAAATGCTCAACTTGCATGTTTTTAAGGGTATTTAAGAGATTGGTTTTAGTACTTAATACTCTAGATGTATAAAGCAAATTATAATTTATTACAATCATCAAAAATTATAAGTAGAATTGAACACGCTACAAAATAAATGATTACATAAATAAGTAGTTATATTATTTGATGCCTTTGATGAATTGCTATGATAACACTTTTGTATTTTGATTTATCTAGGTCTTGTAGTTCATAAATTTAACTAAGTTTTTTATTCACTGATACAAAATATACCATATACATATGTATTTACTCACTTGAAAGACTGGTTTCCTTTTTTATGTAGAGTTTTGACCCATACATTTTTTAGTTTAATAAGTGAATCATAAAGCTTGCTGAAAATATTAAAGTCATTATAATCTGCTGTTGATTTTGTGTAAAACTTAAAGTCACCAATCTTCTACATGATCTATCTTAAAGAAAATATGTTAATGTTAACATATGTGTTTGTACATTTGCAGTGATTCTGACGAGGAATGGCACGATGTGTACACGGAGAATGCAAAACCTCCAAGTGCTCTGACAGTTACTCATGTTAATCACACTCATGATTTACAGGTAATATTTGAAATATTGATTAACAATCAATCTTTATTATACATTTTGTACTGAGAAATCAAGAGGTAAAATCTCTTTTTACATGACTTGGCACCATACAAAATAGTTGAGTAGATGGAATAAATTTTAATGTTTACTTCAATTAATTTCACTTCAACTTTATTTGAGCAGCACAGCTAAAACCTTTTGAATAGAGTACTTTTCATTGTATTTTCCATTTGTTATGTCATGTTTGTTGTATTATGTTGTATTTTGGGCAAGTGGCCTATGTCACAAGAAATAAACTTTACTTACTTTTCATCTTTATCTCTATTTTTAGCTTGACTATACAAAGTGTACCTCTCCTACTAAAAATCTGAGCTTCTCTTATAAAGTTCTTGTTTAACTCATACTACAGTTTCATCAAGTTTGATTCTTTAAACAATTTGTTTCCTCATTAAGCATGCAGCTTTAATAATTCGCAATAATAATAATAATAATTTGCAAGTATTGTTTTCTTTGTTCAGCAACTAGCCACTGTTGAAGCTGCTGCAAATGCTGAACATCAAACCTCTGATGAATGGTTGAAAAGTCATAGTTTAGAATACATGAACCTTGAGTTGAAAGACTTGGTAGACAGGGGCAAAGTAGGAAGGTGAGTGGAGATTGCTCTTTCATGCTTGAGCAAGCATTTGAATGGTTACATGTCGAGTGTTACATTTTCATTTGATGATAATCTTTCAGGTATATTTGCAGACATTTTTTATATTAAAATAATGCACAGGTAATAACTATACTGAAGATCCAGAAAATATTTCCCAGTATTGTTTGTAAATTAATATAAAAGATAAGGTTTAGAGAACTTGCCAAAAAATGTGCAATATTTACATTAATCACCATGATTTTAAATTTGCTATATGTTTTAAAAAGAATTGAGCTCAGAGTTTCAGACCGATTTTGGTTGAAAGCTATTTATCATCACCTTAGTGCAGTAACAGGTAATTCCCTATTGAATTATTTTAGGAGTTAATCCATTAATGCACTAAGGTGACAGACAATATGTCGGTCAAAAACTACATAGCTTATGTTACACGGTTGCATATACATTCTGACAATAATTAGATATGGACTTGATTTGAACAAAGCATGTGTAAGCATATTTGTATGTACTTTTTTTTTCCAAATCAGACTTGAACCAGATTTGAAGACAGGCAAACCTAAGCAACATATACAGTTTGATGCATACGATGTCAATGAGTTTGAATATAAACTCAACTTGTAAGTAAATTCTTAATTTAGTATTAACAAATTTATTTGAAGGCTCAATTGTTCAGTCGTTTAGCTATTTTAGTAATTATGGAGACCATGAGATTTGTCACTGAGAGGTTGATAATTAGATTATATGGCAAGGAGGATTTTTCCATGACAATTGTTCCCATCAGTTGAGTGTTATGGTCATTTATCAGTCATTGCTGATTCAGAAATCCCGTGGGATTAGTAGTTGGTCACTTGCAGAGGAATAGGTAATTTCTGGTTAGTTTATAATCCAGGAAAACCAGTTATGTCAATCTACGGTCAAAATATGACCACAAATCATTTAATGTGCTAAAATTGAGGTTAAAACCAAAAAAGAAACAAAATCTCAGTTGTAAAACATGTTGTTTTGATTTTGATATTAATTACTTTTAGTAGGCATTTAATTGTATTCATGCCATATATGGAAACTTCATTATTTCAGAATGACTCTAACCTATGATATCTTGGTAAAGGGACAGTCACTTTAACAACAAGACTGTTCCCTTGTAGTAAGTTTTGTCATGCATTTGTCTCAACTTATAACCAGTTAACATAATTTGATTTTCCAATAATTTTAGAAACATAGAAACCTACACAAAAAGAATCAAATGGCTTTTAACAGGAAGTAAAAGGGTAAGATATTGTACAACAATTCTCAATAGAATTCATATCCTATTGTTTTAGATTGTCCGCCACTCCTTTACAATTTAACTTTAAATAAATTTGAGGAAAGTGTGGAAGCTAGCTTATGGAACATTGGTGATTCTACTCAGGTGTCTGTTCGTGCCTAAAATAATGCACAGATGGGCATCTAAGGTCTTCCTCCACCAGTAAAGCTGGAAATTGCCATATGACCTATACTGTGTTGGTGCGACGTAACACCCAACCAAAAAAGTTGAAAATTAGGAAAGTATGGCTTACCATCTTACCATACTAGTGATGTTGTTTTTGAGTGCAACATCATATTTCTTTAATTTTACCACAAAGTGTTTATTTTAAACCTTTTTGTAAGTCACTGATTTAAACCTTTACATGTAACTCTAAAATTTAAGTGGCGGCATGGCAGTGGTTAATGTTTCAGACTAAGTAATCTAATGCTTTCTAGCCACATAGGTTCTAAACTCGTCAGTGGCAAGTCATTGTTTTCTTGAGCAAGAAATTTTACACTTATTGCTCATTACTGGTTGGTTCCAGGAACTCATTTGAAAATGTTTCTATAAGCCTTTAACTTCCTACACAAATTAACTAAAATAAATTCTGTATAAACCAACTCCAGAATAGATTTCCACTGAATTATTTCTCTTTTTGAACTTAGTGCATGGCTAAAATTTACCATTTACTATTGTTAAGCAATGAGAATAGTCAAGAGAGCTGTGAATATGACAGCTGTTGTTTTGACTCTTCACTTCTTTTGTAATCAAGATGAAAGTGAGATGACAGAATGTTGATAATGTGATGCCTAAGTGAATTTTTTTATATTTGAAGTTTTTCTTTAAAGGGACTCCACTGAGTTTGTTGAAATGATGGGACTGAAAATACTTCTCTGAGATTTGTGCACCAATTGAGATAGGTCTTATTCAAAAACTTGTGTGCAAATTTTTATCTCATTCCCTCATTCTGTTTTGTTTTTTTCAGAATAATTATTTTATTGTGATAAATATTTCAAAAATGAAAAGTGTTGTTACAAGTTCTCCACTTGATATTTGTAATATTTTTATTTTTTGTTGCCTTTGGACCTCAGTGAAGTTACTTTAAAGTTCAGCTAAATACATGTATGTGAATAGTTCTAAAAGATAAAAGAGTTTGTTAACTGTTTCCTATTTATTGCTTAATAGAATATATTAAAGGATATCAGTATTTGAAAAATGGTGAAGCCAATTAGAAATAAAATCATGTACCAACTATATAAAATAAAGGGAGATATATGGTTATATCTATAAAAAGTGATCCCATAGAAGAATTAAACACAGCAAAATTTACATGAAAATTGCAGACTCGGTTTGATTGAGTCTATACATTTGGGATAATGAGCTAGTGTAACATCTCTCATGCCCCATTATACTTAGCACCGTCTTAAGCTAAAGCAGTACGCAATTTTCCACACCTAAAAGTGCTGTAATCAATGATCCCAAAGGACTAAAAAAATATAACAACACAGTAGTCATTGCTCAGTTATTCAGGTGTTTATATATGATATATTTTAGGTGTTCGGAAATGTAAAGGGTGAAAGATGTGTATTGTGTGTTGATACATCTGATGCTAACACAGGATTTGGTAGACTGACGGCTTTCCAAGAATCTCTTATTGTAAGTAAATGTAAAAAGCAAAAAAAAATATGCCCTTTTTTTGCTGATTTAGATGTATTAAAAATGTGATACCATAGTAGTATCATCATTTACATTGGAAAGTACAAATGTTGTTGGGCAGGTGAGTTCTAATTTGCAGGTGGAATAATTACAGTTTGGTGGGGGTGGGACATGGAACAGCAGGGTATATAAATAAAATGAAAAGAAGATCCGGCTCTTTTTTTCAGAATTTTATTGGTCAATGTGCATTCTGTGGCTGTTCTGACCAATCAAATACCTGAGATCTGAGTTTGAGCTTAGAGAATTTCTTTATAACATTGGACCCGAATTTCAATTTTCCGCAATCAAGTCTACAGTGTAATATACTGATATGTATAATTCATTAATTTTCAGTTATGACACAAGTAAAGAGTAAATGATGTCTAAGGAAATGAAGAATAGACATATATCAATACAACCTTTAAGTGATTTACCTTCAGTAACACAGTAACCAGATTACTGTCTCAAAACCATATCATTTGTTATTTCCAAATTTGTTATTTTCTTTTTAAATACACATACAGAAACTAAAGGCTGAAAAACAAACATTTAAAATGGCCTGAACATTCCTTTCATTGAACTTGTTTATAGTTTTAAAAAGTATATAAGTTACTGTTTAAGTAACATTTATTGAAGTGTGAGAAAAAATGGCACAAAGACAAGATGATGCCAGATGATCAACAGCTATGCAAACACTGCAATAATTCAAGAAATTTGTATGCATTAAGGTATTATGAAAAATGAAATATTTCTTTATATAACAGCACCTTATAGATGAACAGTTACCCAGCAAGAAAGGAATATATCTTATGTCATTTGGAACAGATGTAGATCCATTGTGGCCGGTCGTCAGGGATACCAACATCAGAATGTATGTATATTTGGATAAAATAATGTTACTAACAAAATAACACCATTATAATTTCTTTGACTTTACCAAATTATTTGTATGAAACAAATTATCTGTCTCACCACTATACTATGAGTACATAATCATTTGCAGTGACGTTATAGGAAACAATCCAGCTAGCTTATGGAATATTGGTAGTTCTACTCAGGGGCCAGCTTGTGCTTAAAGAGAGCTATTTTTTGGTCTTTATTTGCTCAAGTAAAGCTGGAAAGTTGACATAGGGCCTTATAGTGTCGGGTTTTATTATTTCACTGCTGTTTTGTTTTTCAGAATTGAAGAAGCAAAAGAATGGGTGATGAGATTGAAGCAGAGTGGGGGATGTAATCTACTTAAAGCTATGAAACATATCTATAAACTGAAGGATATTGATTCCATAATGCTTGTCCTAGGCAGTGTGTAAGTTCATTAAATATATGTACAACATTCCATGGCCCTGTGGTTAGGATTTCTGACTTAGATTTACATTCCTGTAGGTTCAAATCCTGCCATGGACTTTGGAAGAAGCTATTCACTCAGCTTAATGGATCTATTCCGTCCGCTGCCTGAAATAATGTTAAAAAAAAGGATTTTTTGTGACTTAAACTGCAATCCCCAATCAATCCCCAAAAAACAACATTAACAACAACATAGACCAATAGAAGATTGTGTTGTTAAAAAAAACTGGCAGAAAACGTCTTAGAATGGAAGACAATGTCAAAAGTGCCTCAATGGTTAGAAAACTTGCATTTAAATCTCATATGACTAATTTTGTAGTGTAATGCTAGAACGGTTTTTGGATTTTATTATTTGGAGTATGTGGTAGAAAATCATGCATGATTGCATTTGTTTGTATGCTTCAATGAAACTTTTATTTATATTGTTTTTTATATTAAATGGATTTCTTTTTCCTTTTTTCAGTCCAGACCAAGCATCAGATATCCTGTGTGACTACATATACCAGATGGGTGTGGGAAGATCTATACCGTTACATTGTGTGGCATATGATTGTAGTAACCAACTTACAAATGTAACTTAATAAGTATTTACATATACAGTAGAAAGGCCGTGTTTTTTAAAAGTCTTTTTTTCGGGGGAGGGGGGGGGGTTTCATTCCTCTTATTAAAAATAGTTTTTTTCCCCTTAAAATTTTATAAAATAAAAAAACTTTAAAATTATTTTGCAGTGATAAATTGAGTAAAGCAGTACAGGAACATGCAGGGTTATATTGGTTTGAATCAGTGTGCAATTGGATAGACTGGTAATGAATTTTTCAAACAATAATTTCCTGCATGGCTATTATTTTACTATCAAACACAGACATACATGTAGTAGAGCAGGTCTTCTTATTACAGCGTTTGTTTGAATATTATAATATCTAACTTATATTTTATTTTATTGTAGTTTACATTGAGGAATATAGCAGAAGCATCTGGAGGGAGATATCATTGTTACACTGCCAGTTGTGAGGTAAATATAATCTATATAGTATCCAATTTTTGACATATATTGTATTGGTATGTCGTTTAGACACATTATGCTTCAGAAATCCATATTTTTTTTTTAATTCTTTAGAAATGTCAAACATGTGTTTAATAATGTTTTAAAGGGACTCCACTGAGGTTTTTTGACATGATGGGACTAAAAATATTTTTTCAGATAAATGTACCATTTGATGAAGGTGAAGGTTTCAGACCACTAATCTTTGTGCAAAATTTCTGATCATTTGCGCACTTTGTTTTTCCAGAATAGTTATTATACCCCCGCACAACAAAGTTGTAAGGGGGGTATACTGGAATCAGCTTGTCCGTCCGGCTATCCGGCCGTCCGGCTGTCCGGCCGTCCGTCGGTTTTTTCTTGTCCGCCCAATAACTTAAGATATCATTGACCCTTAGTCTTCATATTTGGCATGGAGGTTAGTCATGATTAGTAGATGACCCCTATTGATTTTGAGGTCACTAGGTCAAAGGTCAAGGTCACAGGGGCCTTGACTTCAAAAACCTTGTCCGCCCAATAACTTAAGATTCCTTTGACCCACAGTCTTCATATTTGGCATGTATAATAGTCATGGTTAGTAGATGACCCCTATTGAATTTGAGGTCACCAGGTTAAAGGTCAAGGTCACAGGGGCCTTGACTTCAAAAAGCTTGTCCGCCCAATAACTTAAGATTCCTTTGACCTACAGTCGTCATATTTGGCATGAAGGTTAGTCATGATTAGTAGATGACCCCTATTGATTTTGAGGTCACCAGGTCAAAGGTCAAGGTCACAGGGGCCTTGACTTCAAAAAGCTTGTCCGCCCAATAGCTTAAGATTCCTATGACCCAAAGTCTTCATATTTGGCATGGAGGTTAGTCATGATTAGTAGATGACCCCTATTGATTTGAGGTCACTAGGTCAAAGGTCAAGGTCACAGGGGCCATGACTTTAAAAAGCTTGTCCGCCCGATAACTTAAGATTCCTTTGACCCATAGTCTTCATATTTGGCATGGAGGTTAGTCATGATTTGTTGATGACCCCTATTGATTTTGAGGTCATCAGGTCAAAGGTCAAGGTCGCAGGGGCCTTGACTTCAAAAAACTTGTCCGCCCAATAACTTAAGATTCCTTTGACCCATAGTCTTCATATTTGGCATTGAGGTTAGACATGATTAGTAGATGACCCCTATTGACTTTGAGGTCACCAGGTCAAAGGTCAAGGTCACAGGGGCCTTGACTTCAAAAAGCTTGTCCGCCCTATAACTTAAGATTCCTTTGACCCACAGTCTTCATGTTTTTGCATGGAGGTAAGTCATGATTAGTAGATGACCCCTATTAATTTTGAGGTCACCAGGTCAAAGGTCAAGGTCACAGGGACTTTGACTTCAAAAAGTTTGTCCACCCATTTACTTAAGATTCCTTTGACCCACAGTCTACATATTTGGCATGGATGTTGATCATGACTATAAGGTGACCCCTATTGACTTTGAGGTCACTGGGTCGAAGGTCAAGGTCACAGGGACCTTGACAAAAAAGCTTTTCTTCTCAATTGCTAAAGAATGTCCTGTCCGCAATGTATTGATTTTGACATTTTCACATTTGAAGCTTGTAGAATACATAACTTAGCAATGCACTGGCTTAGTAACCTCAGATTTGGCAGGGAGGTTGTCCTTGAGCGCTAAATGGCCACTGTTGGTTCTGACAAAGTGGTATGCGGGGGTATTCACGCCAAGATAGTGGCAGTTCTAGTTTAAATTGTAAAAAAAATGACCCAAAATAAAAAGATTTTAAACACTTTTCACGCAAATCGGGCTAAGAAAAACATAAAAATAAGATTTTCAATTTATTTCAAAGTATGTTTCTTAACTATCTTTGCATATATTTCTGTTTCAAGTGCCCAAGCTCTTTTATGTAATAAATTCAAATGTTATGTTTTTAGGCTTTTAAACCTCAGTGGAGTCCCTTTAATAAGTAATTAAGCGCATGTTAGATGTTTTACAACTAAAAAAGAAGCTCTGAACATGCAGTTATGTGTCGTAAAGTTAGCAAAATGAAGTTTTTCATTTTTCAAAATCTGGAAAAAAAGGTGATCCCTTGGAAGCAATAATCACAAATAAGTTACATGAAAACTGAAGACACCGTTTGATTGAGTCTGTACATGAGAGATAATGAAAAGTGCAACATCTTTCATGCCCCCTAGCACCAGCTTGAGCGGTACTCAATTCTCAACACTTTAAAGTGCTGAAATTGATTATCCTGAAGGACCAGAAAAATTTAACAACACTGAATTGATATACTGGGAAACTTTTTACAACTGCCACATGCAGTATTGGTAGATTCTTAATTTAAAATTTTGCTTAAAAATCATTCAGATATTCTTTACTAACTAGGGAAGTTATATATTTACAGGAACAGATCTATACAGGAACAGATATAAGTGTATTACTGAAGGAGATACAAAAAGCTCAAGATGTCATCAACAAAATCAAGGAGATGAGACAGGGGATGATGGGTAGTGCTCTCATTAGTATAATGAATGAGGTACATATTACTCAGTTTTAACAAATTGTGACAATAGATTATTTTGAAAAAAAAAACAAACAAAAAAACTTTAAAGGGACTGCACCACGGATTTTGACAAGATGGGTCCGGAAATTGTGATTTATTGATTGATTTTTTGTGTGATTTGATGAAGGTCTGAAAAAGTAATTTTTATGCAAAATTTTAAATCATTTGCTTACATTGTTTTTCCGGAATAATCATTTTTATTAAGCAAAAAGACACAAAAATTTGCATTTAGACTGGAATTCGTAATATTAGTTTTTCTTTGTTGTCTTAAATAGTTCCATGAATGGTACAATAAATGAGATAACATTTTCTATTGCATTAGCATTTGGCTTGAGATAATTCTTAGTTTTACACAATTCGTTAATTCAGTACTTAGCACAATAAATAACAATAAATGAGTAAGATTGTAACCTTAAGACAGCTATTATATCAGTTTGGAACAGCAAAATGCAGTTGTGGTTGTGTGACCATGTGATTAACATGTGGGACAAATTGCTGGCCAAATGTTACTGGACCCCTGTCAGGGACAAGCTTTTGTTTCATTGAGCAAGAAACTTTACCCTCATTGCTTAGTACTGTTGATTACAGAAACGGATTCAAGGGTGTTTCAATAAGCTTAAAGTTTCCAACACAATCAAACTAATATTAATTTGTATAGATTATACTCACATATATAAAATTGATGTTTTTATTTGATAATTTGATAGATCACTACCGAAGTACAGAAGTTACCCCAGTCAAGATTTTTGCCCCGCCCACCAGGTCATGATAAGCCATTGAAAATAGAAATGCCAAAATTCCAACCTAAATCATCAATAGAGTGGATCAGACAACATGGCTTGAAAGGTAACTTATGACTCATGTAAAACATATTTAATGTTGTTTTTTTTTAAATTCAATGTAAATTTAGGTTTCTCCAAATCAAACTTTTAATTAGTGCTCGCCAATTTTTTTAAGCCAATCACTGACGAGGATTTTTCAAATTTTCAGGTTTCAAATCTTAATAGAACAGATTTTATATAAACTGGACGTTTTATATTATAAAACGCAAGTGGGCGGAGCTTAGTTTCGAAGAGCGCTAAAGTGCAATATACGCATGTGCGGAGATCTAGAAATTTACTCCTCCTACTAATCAATATTTATGCATCATGTTTTTTCCGTACACGCACATGTATATCGTCACTACGGCATAGAATTATAAAAAGAGGTTCATTGAAATGAAAACAGGCAAAATAACAGTAAAAATGTTTTATTACTTACGGAACCAGTATCATTTTATAATTTCCAAATAAAAAGTTCACTTTATTCTAACAAAGTATGTATGTAAAATTTCTTACTTTTATGTAAATATTACAGCCCGTGCCGCTGCAAAACCGAAAGTAGGGTGTTTTTATGAATTTTACATTTATTTTTGACAATATACTGCCATTTGTCCGAAGATGATCTGTATATGAACATATTAAATATGTATGATGCATATATAATCAAGCAACAGGTTCATTTCAGCCCGGTGACGGGCGAGGCAAGACATGTCGATTTTTTGTAGCTTATTGTGAAGTTGCAGTACATGAAAATCGGGCACATGACAAATCAGCACATAAATAAAACACTCTAGTGTTCCGTGGTATACATCTTTTCTACGTGTCATACCTCCTTTCCTTATTACAATGAAACTTTACTGCACTGTTATCCATCGCTGGTTTGTTTTTAGCAGAGAATGATCTGTGCGTGTTCAAAGAGGGTACCGTTTGAGAATATTTCGCAAAGAGGGTACCGATATGGATATGCACCGTGATATTGTCTGATTTACCTAGACAGAATGCGGGAATTAGCTATGCAAAACACGTGACCCGAAAATGTGTACCGCTACCGTCTTCCAAATATGGTTGGCTATCGTGTGACGTCACGCAGTGTGTTGGGCGGAAAAAAATGGGCGGAGCACTAAGCCGGTTAGAGTGCATATTGGATGTTCTTCGTAAATAAGAAAGCTACAGTCGCTTCGCAAGCTCCGCTCCTTTTTAGCTTTCTTATTTACAAAGAACACCCAATATGCACTCTAACCTATACTTAGCAGATAGAATACTTTTGATACAATTTTGATAAGGTTCCTTTTGCATCAGTGAAAGTTCACAAAGAGCTTCTGTTTTTTAAAGCCAAGTGTACTGATTTTAAAATTTCTCTCTCGGTTTGTTTGTTTTTTTCTGGTTTTAATGCTCATTTGAACACATGTTTTTGGTCATTAATCGTTATCTGAGAATGTATTTTAAGAGCTTTGGTGGTTTTATTTACAAGATTTAATGTTACATAAATTTTGAAAATAAAATAAGAAATTTGAGATATAGATATAATCCTGTAAGTTTTGTTATCTTTTTGTACTGAACTAAAGCTTTGATGAATTTGTGAAATTTCATTTTTCTCCCCTTATATTTCAGCCAAGCAACTAGATTTGTATCAAGTGTTGGCACCAAATGCTTACTCCTACAAAGAAGAGTTTATACCAGTCATCAAAAAAGCTGTACAGTCACAAGTACATGAGGTAAGTAGCAGTTAAGTAGTCTGTGTCGGCTGCTTTATCATACCTAATCTTAGTAGTCTGAGATAGGAAGATAATGCAGTTACCTCCCTTCCAATGCTCAGGAATTAAAATCAAACCCTGATTAAAAAAAATAAAATCAGTGTGATTAACTTTATTGCTGGTATTCTAAACATAGTTTTTATATCAAATACACGTCTTATAATACTGTATGTTTGTAGAGTCTTTTTTAATTAGACATTTTGTGACATTGTATTTCATATTTGAAATATACATGACTGCAGAAAATTTATGAACTTTTTTCAACTTATGAAAGCACTTGTGCTGATTTTTGACAGGCATGATTAAACAGTTGCTTCTTATATATCCTTCACCCAGCTAGTGTTTTGAGTTTGATATTAGCAAACAACCTTTAATTTGCAGTCTGTCAGGAATCAGCCTGTCAAAAAATTCTAAGCATTGATTTTCAAATTTCAAGTTCAATTACTGAAAAAACAACAACATATTTGTGGCTTAAAAAGTGATATCTTTGTTTAAGTATCAGAAAAAAATAGTTGTACTGATAAATTTAATGAAACAATGTTATCAAAGATCATTTAAATGACTGGGTCATGATTTTATACTATGACTGCCATGCTTTTTTCCAGGGGGAAAAAATCTAAAAATGTATTAACCCTTTTAACAATAACATATGCATTACATTTGTAACAAAATAGTACTGTATGTTAAAACGCATGTATGATAACTTTATCATTTATATTACAGAAAGCTATGGTTCAGTTTAAATGGCATGATGGTACAGTGAAGAATGTACACGTTGACATGACCCAGTTATTTGAGTACCAGAAACATCTAGCTGCGACTGTCAGCGTGTATGAAAGTCGAATTGACTGGCTGGCTAGTGGTAGTAGAAGAATCTTTGGCACAGTTGTTGAGAAGAAGTGAGTTGAATTTTTCATTTAATTCCTTTTGTTATATCATATGCGATGCTGATTATGAACTTTCTTTATGGTTAAAGTGACTTAGAGGGTATGGTATATGCATAGTTTAGTTGAATTTAAAAGTACACTTTTGAGTTAACATGAAATTTACATACAAAAGACTGTGTTATTTTTCTTCAACATGAGAAAAACCCTTTTTTTCGGAAAATGAACAATCATGAATTGTTATATTTGTACAATGTATATGTAAATATGAACATGTACACATATATATATTTTTGTTAATAACAAAAGACTAAAAAATTTTCCCCAAATATCTTAAGATTCAAATTTTAATGAAAATTCCAGTCATTACTGATGTGTACATTGTTTTGTATCATACACAACTATTTATACTACAATATTGATGATGTGTTGTATATTATAATAATAATTTAATGTGAATATTATTAATATGTGACTTATTGGTCCATTGGGCTTGGTGTTCTGTAAAATTACTTATTTTCATTATTTATAAATTGTCATACACATGTTACTATAATGAAATACTTATTTACCTATATTTCAGTGTTGTGATTTTGCTAGATTTATCAGTATCTAATGTAAACTATCTAGTACATATACAACACTCTATCAGACTTCTCATGGAGCAACAACTAGCCAACAAGGACTATTTTAATATCATTGCGTAAGTTACAATATTTATAGTTCTTCTTTACGTAGTGACACATTACTGTTCTAGTTTTACATCCTTATGTATTTTATTTGGAGTTCACCAGTTACTGCATTAAGATGATGATAATTATGCCATTTTTTATGTCTCCCAGAACAAAGTAACATAATATGTTTGACAGACTAAGCCATTGTTTATGTTATCATTCTGTAAATGTTAAATTTTCTTATAAACCATGGTGATTAGGAGATAGATGTAAAGATTTTCTAAATGCACAACTCATATATTTCTTAAGGGATTCTAACAAAACTTTTACAGAATCTTTGTTATGAAATGTTCCGGTGCAGACTTCTGTGTTTTGTGCTTTGATAAGTTTTTGGCAGAATTATGACCCTTTGCTTTTTTCCACAAATGTAATAATGGTGAAAAAAAATTTGTTTTGCAACAATTTCTTGCCACCTGTTTTGCCTTAAATAGAAACTTGTATGATAAACAGATAAATATTTCTTGTGTTAATTGGGTCTTGTTTTATGCTATGTTATATTGTGTTACAGATTTGGAAGTATTGCTGTATCATGGAGACCAACAATGTGTAAACCAACAAAGGAAAATCTTCAAGATGCATGGAGGTACATCTTTATACTAATAAATATAATAAAGATCTTGACAGCAATAAACCTACTATCCTTATTATATTGTTTTGTCCATTACAAAATAACAGTACAGTTAAACCTGTGTTAGAGACCATCTCCGAATAAAGACCACCCTGTGAATAAAGACCACTCTCTGACAAAACATTGTTGATGAAAAAAAAATACAACTGAGTACACTCCGCTTAAAGAACACTTGTCTAAAAGGGCCAGATATGGTATCTCCTTTTGATGGCCTTTATTCACATGTTTGACTATAGTTTTATGTGATATAATTAAATAAAAACCTAAAGTGATTAATTTAGTACATTTAAATGACATGGAAAATTGTAAAATATCTGAGAACTGTATATTTATACTTATATTTGTATTTCAGGTGGGTGTTAGACCTACAGTGTGCAGGCAGCAGAAATTTCTTGTCTGCTTTCAGAAAGTGTGTGGAGAATGAGGAAGAGAGGAGCCACAAAATATGTAAGATATCAAAATGTGAAAATATTTGTCATATCTAAATGTGAAAATATTTGTTATATCAAAATGTGAAAATATATGTTATATCAAAACGTGAAAATATTGGTTTGTGATAAAAAATATGTAAAATAGAGAAAATTAGAATCCCCAAAGAAATTCCAAAACGGCAAAATTGAAAATATTGCAGGCTCGGTTTGATTGAGCCTGTTCATGGACAATACTGTAAAGTGCAAACTACGGTCCACACCCCCCTAGCACCGACTTAAGCAGAATTCAACATTTAATCATGGTTATAGTGAAATTTTGAAACATCCGCAGATGTCAAAACATGAAAATAATGATTATATCAAAAAAATATTGGTAAGATCAAAATAGGAATTAGGTTTAATATAAAAACAGAAAAAAGATGTCAAAAAAGGGTCATAGTAAAAAATATCAAAACAGCACATAGGTTTAGGTTCATTACCATTGTAGAAATAGTAAAATGATGCGTAACAACTTCAAGACCTGTGCAATTGTGCCTTCATAGCTTTGTCTTATTAGGGCCAGTTCTTAAGTGCTATGAGGATATATTGTTGTATCCTGATTAAAGCTCAAACTTACAATCACTGCTATAGTAGAGAGGCAGTCATTTTAACGGCTTAAAAGCTGCTCTTTTTAGAGTCAAAATTTTGTGACATTTGAAGAAGGTATACAGTGTTAAACACAATTTTTGTAATTCAAACATAAAGAATTGATTATAATTATGCAAATATGCACCTTTTGACATCTGATATGCTATGTTTAATTAATGTATTTCATTATTTTACAGCATCTGAAGGCATATATTTGTTTACAAGTGGTGTACCTGACCAGGACATCAATGTATGTCAAGGTTTTATCGAGGAAACTTGTGGTGGCAAGAATATCAAGCTTCATACGATTCTCTTCAACGTTGATGATTATGATGCTAATGGAGCGATACCCGGCAGATACGCTAACATTACACGGACGGCTGAATGTCTCAGAAACCTGGCTCATGCCAGTGGCGGCAGATTTCACTGGATAAGAGAAACAGGTGATTTTTTTTAAGCTTTTGATCATTCTTAGTAAAACAGTAGAATATTTGTTTTAGTAAATCTATTATCATATGTAAGTTTTCATTTAATAGTAGAATACCAATGTTATGTTCAGAGTTAATTTCACAGTTTCAATGTTTCTATAAGAGTTTCTTACAGTTAAGCTTCCACATAATTGTAGAATATCTGTTACTATCAGAGTTTATATTACAGTAAAGTTTCCTTAAACAGTATGATATCTGTTACTGCAAAGTTTCTATATAATGTAGAATATCTATATTAGAACTAAGTTTCCATATAACAGTATAATATCTGTATTAAAACTAAGTTTCCACATAACAGTAGATCATCTATGTTACAGCTATTTAGTTTTCATATAACAGTAAGATATCAATGTTACAGCTATGTTTCCATATAACCATATAGCATCTATGTTAAAGCCAAGTTTCCATATAACATCTATGTTATAGCTATTTTGTTTGATATAAATGCTACATCTAGGTTTCCATATAACCATAGATCATCTATGTTACAGCTATGTTTCTATATAACCATAAACTATCAATGTTACAGGAATTATTGAGAGTGATGACATTCAGGTGGTCACAACAGAGGTAGATAAATGTCTCAACTTCTCACGGAAATGTCAGATGTTGATTGATAATGTGAAGAAAAAGTACCACGAGAGATACGTAAGTGAAATATACTTCACATTATTTAGAAAGGACTATGGTTGTGTTGTTAAAAAATCACTCTTTAATGGTGTAAGGTGTAGATTTTCAGAACTTTATCATTTCTATTTTATGAATTGATAATGATGAATTGATCAGGTGTAAATTTGAAAGTAAAGGGAACTTTTTTAAGCTGCATAACATTATGCCATGAATCACTTTTGCATTTAGGATTTATGAGAAGAATATACATTTACTTTTGTGTCATTTCATAATAATATCTTTTTTGTAATGAAAGATTTGAGGCAATTATTTTGCTCAGAAATGATTTAAGAAAAGAAAGGCTGAAGATAAAATGGCATTAATTGAATATTTTTACTAAATATTTATTTTTGCACCTAAGATTAGGAGTTTTCCAAAAAGTGGATGATTTGCAATTTTGCACATGTTAGCTAAAATTCTTTGTTATAGATAGGTAGTGTGTCCATTAGACATGTTTTTTATTTGCTCGATTAGTACTAATATTTATGATATTAACTTTATTCATACAACAAACTGTTCACATTTTTCCACACATACCAGTAAGTGCCTGTTATAAATATAGTGTCATGTACTGTATAAGTGGTAAATTTTGCGCTGTGGAATTATTTGCGAATTTTGCGAATTGAAAGTATTCGCAAATATTTGATCACGCAAAAATTATTTCTTTTTAGGCAAGTTTACAGCATCTTACATGAATATGTTTGACTGTTAGGGTACTGAGATTAGTTTTTCTCATTGCTTGTTGGTCTTGACAAATTACAAATGCTTTAATGAAACAATATATGTGTTAAAAACACAATAGGTTATTTATATAACTAAAGAATGTTTTAAATTGTGACAAAGAAATGTGTGATCAGGTCCTTAATCAAACTAACAATGTATATTTCAAACAATTTTATGAATAATAAAGGTATTAAACAACTGAATAGAACGATTACAATAATGGCATATTCTTAACATGTACCTGCTTATTTAATGAAATCACAAAACAGTATTAAATTCAAGAAATCATATTTTCACAAAATATTTCTGCATGCATAAATTCCACTTTTTGTCATTCGCGAAACTTTTGTGACACATAATTATCCACTTATACAGTATCTGCAAATGCATGGCTTTTTGAGAGAGTTTCCAGTTCAAAATACTAAATTACATGATTATTAAAAAAAGGCTCAATATGTGAACAGTTTGTGTATATTTGTAAGTGACTAATTGTATGTGATACTTATAATGCTGCCAATAAAAAACTTCCTTTAGTACCTGTTACACACAAATACATGTAATAAATTGCGTGGTGAGGCACCCAATGTAATAAATTGCTCAGTGAGGCACCCAATGGGGAAATCCAAAAGACAAATAGTTGAAATTATGAGTCAATGTTTTCTTATTGTTAATTATGCCCCATGTAACATGTCTGACATTTTATTAAGAATTTATTATACAGCAGAAAACACTTTATTCGAGGAAAAATAAAAAAAAAAAAATCACAAATTTACGACACAGTAATAATATCCAATGGAATGCGACATTAAAAATGCATTATCATATAAACATACAATGTATTTAGTGTAGTGGTGTTATATGTAATATTAGATTGTATATGGTCGGTATATTTTCTACTCTCAGCACTCGGAGCAAGTCCTGGCATTACCGGCACCGGAACGTTCGCAGCGGGCTAGAATATCAGGGTCGCAACATTTAGCTATCAAGGTAGTTGGTCATATACATTGTTCTAGATTATCATATAGTGTAGAAATTACAATATAGCTGTTTGGCAGTTGTGAATTTTACATTAGTTTAGAGATATACACATGTAGTTGATTTCTTTTGACTTTTATCACACTTTGCCAACCTCTATCAGCAGTCATTCAAAGAAAATTTTTTTGGCCTTTGAAAAAATTGCATGTTTCAAGTTGCAATTTTTTTTGCCTTTAAAAAAATTGCATGTTGCAAGTTGCATGTTTCCAGATTAAAATATTTTTCATAACAATTTTATTTTTTATGAACTTTGAATAAATAACATAATATTAATATGTTAACCTTACTAAAGTTTTAAATAGTAAGATTATGATATCTAAACTATTTAGATGTCAGCAAAGAGTTTTTTACCGTGTGTTCTTAACAATGTCATAGAACATGAAGAATTTGGACTTATTTCCAATTGGTACAAATTCTAGGATTATCTTGAGGCATTTATCAGTTTTAGAAATGCCTTCATGCCGAGGCATCCATAGATTAACCTTGGAGGGAGGAGTGGGGGCGTAGGGGTCATGTGGTTTTTGTCTTGTTTGTACAGTGGAGAACTTGAACAATTACGATAAACTCTTCAGTATTTACTTAACGTTTGTCTTTGGACACATCTTAATTAAACATATTTAGTTAATTATTTACAGGTTTAGGATGTAGTATTTATGTTTAAGAAACACATAGCGTAATAATAAAACTGATATTTTATTTTAAAGTACGAGGCTGAAGATGTTGAAACAAGTGAGTCAAATTTGACGAGACCTCGTCAGAGACCATCAAGTGCTAAAGCATCTAGCAGTGAATCAATGTTACCTATGCGTAAGTTATATCCTTCTTAACAAATACATAAACACTGTTATCCTTCATGTAACATAATAAATGTTAATTGAATTACAACATGTTTAGAACAGAAAGCTGAAAAACGTTAAGATTAGGAGCAGATTTTTGTTGTGTGAAAAAGCAGTAAAGTTGTAACATACAAAAGAATGGTGGTTTTACAATTACATCAATTTTGCCTGAAAAGAAATGAAAAGAAATGAAATGTTGCCTTGGATTTTCATTTGCAAGTTCATCTGAAATGTAGTCATTAGGGTTAAGTTATAAGGATATGAAAACAAATTGATAAAGATATGAAAACAAAGTGATAGCACTTTTTCTTTTGAATTTGCTATATGTTACCTGTTTTAGCTTTAACCATGGCATACATTAAATTATTGTTTACAGGGTCTAAAGATAGACCATCTACAGCCAGAGACCCATTGGATAGAGTAAAGAAAAAGAAGCTCTTGAAGTCCAGTTTTTTCCTGGACTCAGGGAAACATCAGTGTGGGGATGGTACAGGAACTGTCTTCAGGAAGTACCCCGCCCCTAGACCGGTCCGTAAGAGTGTAGCCCATCCCACAATACCAGACACAGAGGATCAGAGAACAACAAAGGAGGTAGGTAGTAGCCATAGCAACTATGTTCAATGAATTTTTAGAATTGTATCATGTTTTCATAGATATATAATTAAGGGCTTTTATCACAGGTAGGGGAAGGGGCATGACCCTTAAATTTGGGGGGAAATAACATAGCTTGTTTTGCAAAAAAGGAAGAAAAGTCTTGATCTTAATTTAATTAAAGGGGAAGCTACATGATTTAAAAGAAGTTTCCTGTGGGGAAGCAGCCTATAAAAGACCCCTGCTACAGAATATATACTTGATGACCTGTCTTTTGTCCACTGATCTGTACAACTACAGTTGTAAGCTCTGAAAATTTAATATCAAACATGAATAATATTATACAATTATACAATTATTGACTAGTGAGCCATTGAATATGATGTGATATTCACCGGCAGATGACATATTGACCGAGGCGATAGCCGAGGTCAATATGACTTTCTGCCGGTGAATATCACATCATATTCAATGGCTCACTAGTCAATAATTGTTTTATTATATGAATAGGCTAAGAAATAAAAAAAAATCACAAAAAGTACAACCTTATATACATGTACAAATTTTGCCTCGTTGAAGCGCGGGAAAAAAGACGCACGTGTTAGGCGTGCAACGACTACGCGAACGCTGCGCATACAAAAATAATTCAAGTTTATACTCATCATTGCGGTGTAGCCTTTAAGTATAATAGTAAAGTAATGATATTTTAATCGAGAAATATGCCATAAAGAACAAAAAGCAACAATTATTTTTTAATTAACACGCGTAATTAACAGTCTACAGTGTATGGTCATTGAATATGAGTCTATTTTTAGACTGGGAAAATCCAATTCAGCCAGTAAATATGATACTACACCCAGTGAATATGATTTTATAAAAAGTTCTGTTGACTACTGTTTGGACCAATGAGATTGCAGCTATATTTAGATCATATAATAAAAAAAAATAAGTGACTGATAGTTATCATATATTGAGAACAAGTTACATCACATGGTGAATATTGATAATTTTTTTCAGTGGTTGAGATTGTACAGTTTATCCAAGTTAAAATTAGACCTCACCAAGCTGGTGTCAGGACCAGATTGTAAACATGTGGAAGATGGTGTCAAATCATTGAAGAAACAAGTCTCTGCCAAGTATGTACACATTAATTCATGTTTCATTATTCTATACATAAATTTATCATATGAATATATCATTAAATATTCTATACATAAATTTATCATATGATATTCTATACATAAATTCATCATATGAATATATCTTTCAATATTCTGTACAATTATTCTGTCTAAAAACTTATTATACTGACTGGAGAACATACATGATTTAATCTAACATTAACACCATTGGAACATGACCAACTTCTTAAAATGCCAGAAAAATAAACCCAACTATAACAATCGCAGTAGACAAGCCATCATGTTCGACTTTGCCGATATTTTATTCAAATCTTTGTTTAATCAATCACACCACAAACAGCTCTTGTTCCAAAATAAAATAATCATGTTTACAATGCTCTTTCCGTAGTTACCTTGATTATCCATATATTGATAAATTGACTGTCTGAAAATGGAAGTTTGACATGTCCATTTCTGTCTCTTAACCAATCAAAATTTGACTCCTACTTTGGTCATAAGCCTGGTTCCTCATATGACACGTACACTGGTTAAATTCAAGGAACCAGGCTCCAGAATTTTCCAAATAAGCTACAAGCTTAATTCTAAACAATCAAACTTAGATAAGTAGTGTTTAAACTAAGCCAGTAAATTTGTCTTGCACGTAATGTTCAAAAATTGTATAGCAAAACCAAAGTTACAGGGAATATAATGGCAGATTATTTTATATTAGCTCTTTAGTATATGAGAGACAACATACAAGGTGAGTTCTTCATTGTTAGGGAGTGGACTCTTTATTTCTGTAGTTTCCCAACAGAATCTATTTTTAGATTGTTGGTATATTGATGTCAGTTGTTGTTTAGTAACTCCCTATAAAAAATTTAAAGCAAATTATGCAAAATTTTTAAAATATAATTTCATCATTGTGAAACTGTCAGTTTTAAATATATACATTGGTATTGTGTATATGTATTTATTTTATTCCTAAGTAGTTTTAGGATTCAAAATTGGTATGAAAATCCCTAAAAATTACAAAGAACAGTTCCAAATTCAAAATAGGACTAGCTCATTATATAAATTTTATGGGTTAAAGGGTTAAACAAGAAATGCCTTTGCTCATAAGAACTTTATAAGTGTGCATAACTGATATAAATATCAAAATGAACTTTACTTATGATGTTGAATATAGAAATTTTATATCATTTTTCAAAGGAGCAATAAATGCATACACTTTAGATACTAGAATTTCTATGCTTGTTTTTAGAAGTTATCAGAATTTATTTTATTGATGGTTCTGGTCTAACATTACTTCTGCTTCTTTCTTTGAAAATCTGATTAAGCAAATTCAGCAGGATTGGGGTTAAGAATTTAGTACTTCTTCATTCTAGATAGAAGATCTCAGCATGTATTATTACTTCTTTTCAAACAGCTTTCCTTTCTTTAAAATTTCTTAATTTTTTAAATTGTTTATCTGTCAGAATATGATTTTACTAATAAAATTAGAACTCCAGAAGTTTATGGTAAATAGTCTCATCTCTTTAATATGGTTGTAGCAAAGTTTAAATGTCATAGTGTGTATAGATATTTTATTCCTAGAATAGAACAGAACAGCCATTGATATTCTTTTTAGAACATATGAGCCGCGTCACAACAAAACAAACATAGTGCATTTGCGACCAGCATGGATCCAGACCAGCCTGCGCATCCGCGCAGTCTGATCAGGATCCATGCTGTTTGCTTACAGACCCTATAACAAGTAAAGAAACTGATAGGGAACAGCATGGATCCTGATCAGACTGTGTGGATGCGCAGGCTGGTCTGGATCCATGCTGGTCGCAAACCCATTATGCTGGTTTTGTCATGGCGTGGCTCATTTATATACATATATGGAGTAAATAACCAACTTTCAGCTCACATGATTACAATGTGATCATATGAGATATTGCAACAAGCCTTTGTATGTTGTATGATGTTAAGTTCTGCTTTGTATAATATTGCCTCCTTACACAACAAGTCAATTCTAACGGAAATTGTACTGTAATTTTCTTAAGGTGCTCCTCTATAAAAATGAAATTGATCCTGTCTGCAGAACAAGATAGCCACAAAAGCTGAAAATAGAAATAAGCTTTTAATCACGTCTCCCCTTTTAAACTGCTTGGCTGAGTTTTTTTACTCAACAAGAAAAATCCTTTGGGGCTCTTTTTAAGTAGCTAGTGTTATTTTAATTTCCTAACCAAACTTGCCACCAGAGCTTACATTAGATTTTTATTTAGCTGACATCATTTCCTTAATGGCTAAATCTTGGTAGGAATGATCCTTGAGTTAGATGGTCTTTTATATAAAAAGAAACTAAAGTAGTTTTTGTCTGTTGAACACAATGGCAATCAGATGATTTGAAACAAGTGAAACATTGGCTGAAGATTCTACATTACCATTACATACTTTCATACATTATTTCTCAGTTGAGCCATCCAGGGTCTTTAGGAATCTCTTGTTTATTATCAACATGAATAAAGTTTAATCCAGTTTCCAAACATTGACTTTTTATGCATTCTGTTATGGCCCATATCTATAGAATACGTCATAAAATTAGGAAGAACAATGTATTTACAATGTTTTATATACAATGGCTTTGTACGTCTGCTAATTTCCAATCACTAGCAAATGTAATGAACATGTATTTTGGTTATCACCTTACAGATACTGTGATATATTCCCAAGTATCAATGTGAAGGGTACAGTCAAGCATCTCCAGTTGATGCCTCATGAACTAGAGGACTATGAGAAACAAGTGGAGAAAGTTCTGAAGCGTTACCTTAAACGATTACAGTGGCTACTCAGTGGTCAGTATTTGATTTTTTTGTTATGTTTAAAATACATTGCTTTTGAAGAAATAACCTGTCAGAAAAGCTATAAACTGCATTGAATAATGTATTAGATATTTCTTACAAGATTAGAAAAAATGTAATAAGATTTGCTTTACATTTCATATCTTTCATCTTTTTCTATTTATGTACTGGTTTGTTGTCAGTTTGTACTGGTTTGTTGTCAGTCACAAATTTAAATTATGACTGGCGGAAAACACTTGTTCAAGTTAGTATATTTCTATGCCAGTTTGTAAATCAATCAAAATATAGTAAAACCAGTGTAACATTCATTTGATGGTGCTTGTAGTCAGTCTTAACTGCTTGAAAGCTAGTAACAATATTGACTTACCATTAAATTCTACCAATATAGAACCAGGCCAGCCTTCACATGTGCACAGTCTTAGCAGACTATACTTTTAGATGCTTGATTGAAGCATTCTTATATCAAAACCCCTTATAGTAACATTATGGAAAATTCTAATTTCAAAGCAGAGCCAATCCATTGTACAAAAATAGGCCGTGTAAGGGTGTATTTTAGCATTTTGATATCAAAACCCCTTACAATAACAATGGACATTTCCAATTTCAAAGCAAAGCCAATCTATTGTACAAAAAGAGATGGTGTAAGGGTGTATCTTAGCATTTTGATATCAACACCCCTTATAATAACAATAAACAATTCCAAATTTAAAGCAGGACAAGTCCATTATATAAATGTAGAAGGGTAATGGTTAAAAAGATGCTGTATGGTATTTCAGGTAGCAGACGTGTGTTTGGAACAGTAGTTCACAAGAAATGTGCAATTCTGATAGATACATCTGGTTCAATGGTACCATACATGGAGGAACTAAAGAAAGAGCTAGCTTCATTGATCTGGGAACAACTGTATAGACAGGGTTGTCGGTATGTTAACTTGAATTTTTAGCTCACCTGTCACAAAGTGACAGGGTGAGCTTTTGTGATCGCTTTTCGTCCGGCGTCCGTCCGGCCGTCCGTAAACTTTTGCTTCAAATGACATCTCCTCATAAACCACTAAGCCAATTTCATCCAAACTTCACAGGAATGTTCCTTTGGTGGTCACCTTTAAAAATTGTTCAAAGAATTTAATTCCATGCAGAACTCTGGTTGCCATGGCAACCAAAAGAAAAAACTTTAAATATCTTCTTTTAAAAAACCCAAAGAGCTAGAGCTTAGATATTTGGCATGAAACATCTTCTAGTAAGTGTCTACCTAGTTTGTTCAAATAAAAGCCCTGGGGTCAAAATTGGCCCGCGCCAGGGGGTCATTGATTTTCCCAATATACATATAGTAAAAACTTAAAAATTCTTCTTTTAAAGAACCCAAAGAGCTAGAGCTAAGATATTTAGCATGAAACATGTTCTAATGGGTGTCTACAAAGTTTGTTCAAATAAAAGCCCTGGGGTCAAAATTGGCCCCGCCCCAGGGGGTCATTGATTTTCCCTATATGCATATAGTAAAAACTCAAAAAATCTTCTTTTAAAGAACACATAGAGCTAGAGCTTAGATATCTAGCATGAAACATCTTCTAATAAGTGTCTACCAAGTTTGTTCAAATAAAAGCCCTTGGGTCAAAATTGGCCCCGCCCCAGGGGGTCATTGATTTTCCCTATATGCATATAGTAAAAACTTAAAAAATCTTCTTTTAAAGAACCCAAAAAGCTAGAGCTAAGATATTTAGCATGAAACATCTTCTAATAAGTGTCTACCAAGTTTGTTCAAATAAAAGCCCTGGGTCAAAATTGGCCCCGCCCCAGGGGGTCATTGATTTTCCCTATATGCATATAGTAAAAACTAAAAAAAATCTTCTTTTAAAGAACCCATAGAGCTAGAGCTAAGATATTTAGCATGAAACATCTTCTAATAAGTGTCTACCAAGTTTGTTCAAATAAAAGCCCTGGGGTCAAAATTGGCCACGCCCCAGGGGGTCATTGATTTTCCCTATATGCATTTAGTAAAAACTTAAAAAATCTTCTTTTAAAGAACCCAAAGAGCTAGAGCTAAGATATTAAGCATTAAACATGTGCTAATGGATGTCCACAAAGTTTGTTGTAGTTAAAGCCCTGGGGTCAAAATTGGCCCGGCCCCGGGGGTCATTGATTTTCCTTAAATGTGTATAGCGAAAACTTAAAAAATCTTCTTTGTAAAAACCCAAATAGCTAGAGTTTAGATATTAAGCATGAAACATCTTCTAGTGAGTGTCTACAAAGTTTGTTCAAATAAAAGCCCTGGGGTAAAAATTGGCCCCGCCCTGGGGGTCATTGATTTTTCCTTATATGTGTATGGCAAAAACTTAAAAATTCTTCTTTGAAAAAACCCAAACATGTGCTAATGGATGTCCACAAAGTTTGTTCTAGTAAAAGCCCTGGGGTCAAAATTGGCCCGGCCCCGGGGGTCATTGATTTTCCTTAAATGTGTATAGCGAAAACTTAAAAAATCTTCTTTAAAAAACCCAAATAGCTAGAGTTTAGATATTAAGCATGAAACATCTTCTAGTGAGTGTCTACAAAGTTTGTTCAAATAAAAGCCCCGTGGTCAAAATTGGCCCCGCCCCAGAGGTGTCATTGTTTTTAACTATATGTGTATAGTAAAAACTTTAAAAATCTTCATTTAAAAATGCCAATGAGCTAGAGGTTAGATTGCAGGAAACTTCTTTTTGTGGGTGTCTACCAAGTTTGTTCAAATAAAAGCCCTGGGGTTTAAACTAGCCCCGCTCTGGGGACCTAAATACAGGTGAGCGACCTCAGGGCCATCATGGCCCTCTTGTTAACATTGTAAAAGATTACAATTCCTCTGTTAAATTATGGTTCAGGAATATTTATATTTTAATAGAGAATAGATAGTGGGCATTTATTGGGATAAAATTTATTTGTTTTTGAGATCAGTTGTGAAAAAAAAAGTTTTTGTCATTTGAGGCAATCATTTTTTGGGTCCATTTCATGGAACTGACTAGTATTGTTGTCATATAAGAACACTTACATTGTGGTAAATGTAGGGTTTAAAACCACAATACATGTACCTGTTTTATTAAATATATAACTACATTGTATAGACTAGTGAGCTGGCATATCCATAAATAATGTATGAAACTGAACTTACCTGAAGTCAGTAATGGACCAATCCAAATCAATGCAGGAGAAAATAATTAATTATACAAAGAGGCTGTAATGAATCTAAATTTTACACCATTTTCATGACTAAATGTAGAGTTCAAACCATTGCTAGGGGGCGCAGAAATAACTTGCATTTAGCACTGCTATCCATGAACAGGCTCTGTTAGAATTTTCACATTTTGCGAAGTGAGATGACCTTTAAAGTTTCCATTTAGAGAATTTTATAGTATGATTTATTACTTACTTATGATATGTAGGCAATGAAAAGGGAAACTTTTATGTAACTGTCACTAACATTTAATTTTATTGTTTATAGATTTAATCTGATCCGGTTTTCTGGAAATTGTGAGAAATGGCAAGAAAATATACAACCAGCTACCCAAGAAAACTGTCATTCTGCCATCAAGTGGGCGTCAACATTAAAAGCCAGTGGTAATACATGTACGCTCGAGGCTTTACAGGTATGTGATTTATTAGATTTTTTCTTTATCAAGCACTTTGATGACTCAGATTTCAAGTAAGGGTTTATTGTTGTGTATTTGTCACATTCATGTAGTCATTGTATACTATTAAACACAACAGTCAATGTATACTATTAATCTTAAGATTGCTGGCTACGTGGGTTCAAACCCCATCAGGGGCAAGCCGTTGTTTCCTTGGGCAAGAAACTTTACATTCATTGATTAGTACTGGCTGGTTCCAGGAACGGATTTGAGAGTGTTTAACTAAGCTTATAGCCTTCAACACAATCGAACTGAAATAAATTCATATAAACTATTAAAACAAAGACAATTTAATCAAAGCACAAAAATATGAAAGTATTGTAAGTATTAAAGTATTGCTTAACGTAGAATACTGTTTTACTGAGAAAGAGAATATATAGTTCCTAAGGGAAATTTGTATTTTGATAATACACTTACCCTAGGTACAGCTCACAAATGCAGGTTAATATGCTGTCTTAATTTAACTCTAAAATTAAGAGCAAGGTTACATGTAAAATTTCATGAACTATGTACAACTGTACAAATGAAGTTTTAATAGCAAGATTGATATTGTTTACTTTTCACATTAAATTATTTTTTCATGAACCACATCTTATATAACTTAGCAATTATTATTGTAAAAAACTTTTACACCAACCCTTTGTATACCTAGTTAACCAGTATGTATAAATTCTATTTCAGCTTGCATTTGATGACCCTGAGATAGACTCAGTATACTTGTTAACCGATGGTAAACCAGATACCAGCACATCTCTTGTACTGCGAGAAGTCGCCGAAAATACGAAAAACCTCATACCAATAAATACCATATCATTCAACTGCAACGACAAGTAAGTGTTATTATATGCACCAAAATTTTTGTGAATTTTACACATTGTTTGCCAGAATAAGAAAAGGAGGACAATTACAAGCTTATGCCCTTTTCATACTGTCATTTGTGATAATTTCTGTTCCCCTACATTTATTGATAGCTTGGAGTGCATATTTTTTGGCTGTCTAGAGCCTGTCAGTGGTATACTTGGCCACAATACTACATATTGGTTCAAACTTACCTCTTATCAAGAAATTTGCTTAAATATTTTGAATTTGACCTTGACATCTGAATGACCTTGGCCTTTATGGTTATACTTTTAACATTCAGGAAATTCTGATTAATAATTTCTTAGTAGAAGTTCAGAATGTAAATAAAAGTTGTTAATCCTTTTGAATGCCAGAGGTAGTAATAATTACTTGCCTATACCGTCTTTAAAGATACAGGCTAGCTTATACTTATATGCATCTTATAGGGCTGTTTAATGTGCAGTTTAAGTATTTTTATATCAAGACGCCTGACTTTAAAGCAATGGATATTTTTAAATACATTCCAAAGTCCATTTTACAATTTATCATGGTATATGATAATAATATAAACTCTCTTATGTTGTTAATCATTGAATTATGTTTTTCGTTTTCATTTTTGCAGCACTGCAAACAGTTTCCTTAGTCTCCTCGCAACAGAAACATCAGGTCGCTACCACCGTTGTCACAGTGATTTTGATGCTCAATTATTCGCACACAAACTTCTTACAGATGGATTTAATGATGCCGAGGTATATGTTTTGTCATACTTTATAGTTGTTTTTGTTAGTTTTCAGTTTTAAATTGTCACTTCAGTGCAGTAACGGGTTAACTCTCTATGTTAACCCATTTCTGCTCTAAGAGGATGAAATAATATATTCACAGCCTTGATAACTGACTGGTTAAAAAAAAGCTGTCATAGATTCACTTGGTTCTTATGCTACTTTATGAATATTTCAGTACCCACATTTACCGGACCTTGAAGGGGATGATCTACGCAGACTTGGCCAGGAGATCACATTGGCTAGAAAATACCTACAACAGGCCAGGCAGTACAGGTCAAATATTTCTTTTGCATTCCTTTTACCCTTCACCTTCTGATTTTGTATAATGAATTTGCCAAGCTTTAAATTTTGAACCGTCTTGGTCAAACTGCATGGATGTGTACATTGGCCAGGCCATATTCTGTTAAAGCTAAAGCTATATCCTAGTTATATTCTAATGACAATCCTATCAAAATAAGTAAATTGAAAGCTTGTTTGATTTCTATGCCGATTTTAACACACTTTTGGTTATATGTTGCCAGCCACTTTTCTGCATAAATAAACAAATATTTTTAAAGTCTCTAAAAGTGACCCACTACTAATCTTACATGATTTTGTTATCAGCAGTGAGAGATTAATGATTATTACATTCAATGTTTGAGGTTAATTGTCACAGAGAACTTTGGCCTCGCCTGAGGATTGCACCCTCAACCCCAGGTAAACAAATCTGAAAGGAGTATGCCTGTAGATATAGAAGAAATAGAGCACTACATGTCCAATAAATTGATTTCTAAACTCAATTTAAGTTGCAATTTTTCTAGTATTTTGATGAAGAATGTTTTATACGATGCTTTTCTACTATCCATGTATCATAAATAACAGAAAACTCTAATGAGAAATGCTTTATATAATTTACATTGTATGTATATTATGCTTACAGGGCATTATACAAAACCAAGTCACAAACGTCAAACACAGCAGATTCTGGAGAAACTGCCAGAAGTAAGTGTTATATTCTTTTTTTAACAGTTATATATACGTTACAAATTACACAAGTTTCGTGAATTATGATTGGTTTAAATACTTTGTGTACAATGCCAAATTTACGATAAGGAATGGAAGCACACACAAATAACCATTTATTTCTATATTGCAGATGGTTACCTGTGTGTTTGCATTGCATTTTGTTCATTATAATATATTTCTCAATTCAAATTATTAAAAATGTTAAATGTTTTATCACTATGATGGCTTTATATTGAATTACTTTTTATTGCACAATGTTCGAATAGCCATTTAACCTCTGATGTCATTTTATTTTTGTGCGTGTTTTTTCTGTGCTTCTTTGAAAACAGTGCAAAATTGCTCTTTTCTGTTTTGTAATTAATGATATATAACTATTCTTATGTTTGTTTGGTTATAGAAATTACATAAAATGTTATTTATATTTTTTTGTAGGTAAAGTATCACCATTTGTTGTTGGAAGACCTAAAGGTTCAGCAAGATAGTTTCCATAGCAACCACATCTAGTCTACAAAACTTCAAAGCTTATATAAAAAGAGTTTCCTCCCTTAGTGTACACAGGCTCATTATATATTTGAGAGTTGTTCCCCTTAGATTACTGACTGATTAAATTACTGAATTTGACAGACTGGTTTTATTATTGATTGGATTATCATCATATATGAACATGAAAAGTTTAACAAATTGATTTTATGTGAAGTCTTTATTCAGTTTTGATATATTACCTTGTTTTAATTAGAAATTTTAAACAAACATCAAATTACTCTAGCTTTAGTTGTATGGGTGAAATTTTAGTGTTTTTTTTTTTAAACATAATTTAATATCTTGTTTCATGATAGCTCTGTTGAAATTAGAAGTTTTTTTTCTTAATTTGTGTATATAATTTGGTCCATTATAAAACAATTATAACATTTATTCAAGTAGCATGCCTCCATATTTCATCCAAATTCAATGTGAATATTTAGAAAGTGTTCAAAACTCTTAAAAAGATATCAATATGAACTGTATTATTATGAATAACAAACTAGTTACATTGTCAAGTGAAAAAAGATGTTTAATAGACATGTTATACTTACACATTAAACATACATATGGTGTGCCAAAATATGCAAGTTACTCTTTAAGTATCAGGGTACAAATATAGTGATAGAAGTAAAAAGAAAAAACAAAACGTATTTTCATAAAATCTTCAAAATATGACTTGTCTCAAAAGTACTTGTATCTCAACACTTTTAGATCAAAGTCTGTCTTTGGATTCTTTCATGTATCTAATCTATCTACCTAGCTTTTGGAAAATTAATGAATTTAACTTTAAGTTTTTTTTTGTTATTATTGATTTTTTTTTTGGGGGGGGGGGGGCATAGTATTAACTCACCTGGAGTCTTGCGAATGAATCGCTACATCCAACAACAGGAATATTAATGCCATTGCTATCTGCAAACGCACAGCAATTGGAATTCAGAATATTTTAATGTCCTTTACTTTGTTGCAAGATAGATTTGTTTTAATGAATTTGAAATCTGTAGAAAAAATACAATTTTAATTTGTATGATACACCAAAATTATGGTAAGATTATTAAAGATTAAACCACTGTTTATGATTAGTGCCCCAATGCCACCTGGGACTTTATACTATCATGTTTCAAGAAATTAATTGCTAGTTCTTGTTTTATAATAATTGCTTTACAAAAACGAAAATCACTGACTTTGTAAAAAAAATTAAAAAATCACTGACTGTCATGTAACTGGATTACATTAGAAATAATGATATTTATTTAGGTTGTTAATGCAGAAAAACAACAACTATGCTTATAGAAATTTATTTTTTAACTGGTGTTGTTTTTACATTGAACCTTGATCTGGATCTTGATATTGTTGATAAAGCTGAGACATTTATATTATAAATCAATTTAAAAAAAAACATCATTAATTGAGGAATAATTCTGCATTGAATGAACCATTTCAAGGTTGCTACCAGAAGTGATAAAATTGTTATTTTATGTCTCGATTGTAGAATCTAGAAAGTTTATTTTCATTTTGTAAATTCATGTCACATGTAGTCATTGTAAGATTATTTACATGGGTTTTTCTAGTATTTCTGATCAATCTGGTATTGGTTTTTAGACCATATCCTATTGAAATATTTTAAATGGAACTGCACAGCCATCTTTTTTTTTTTCGAAATACCCAATTTGTTCCAAGTTATCGAAATATCAAAATGAGAATTTGAAGTTTGTCAGCCAAGAAAGTTCCTGATTTATTGCCTACCATGTAACATAGATTATGGTATACATGTACATACATAGATATTACCGTAAGTGTTTGGTGAGTTGTAAAAAGTAATCTCCTTTTTAAAGAGGGGACATAGTTGTTTTTCAACAATCACTTAGTTGCAAATACCATCTGTCTGGTGATGGAACATTCTCTCTTACTACCTTTCTTTTATCTTTTTTGTGTGCTTATGATTCCAAATAGAATAGAATTCATAAGAATGAAAACCAGAATTTTAAATAATTTACTTTGTCATTTTTAAAACTTTTCTTTATATAGAATTTTAACATTTTATTTATTAAAGATATTGTGATAGATTTTGTTTAAATATTTTGTGCATTTTACAAACATGTTTTAGATTTATATATGTATATTTAATATAAGATAACCCTGCATTTGTTGATCTATGCTTTAGCTCTATGCTATTAGAAAAAGTGAATAAACAGAAAACACCCAATTTGTTATGTGTTATGTTTTAATTTTTTATTCCTTCCAATACAGTTGATTTCAGAGAGAACTGGAATTCATCTATACCAAGAAACTTATAATTATGTAATGAATAAAGAAAACTTTTGTCAAGAACTCACTAACTATAAAAGTATATTTCTAAGTAGTCATCATTAGATATGATAATACTTATACTACTATTAATGATTGTGATGCTGATAATGATGGTAATGATGATAATTCTGATTAAGATGATGATGATTTTAATGATGATGGTGATGATCAGAATATTGATGATGATAATGGTGGTGATGATGATGATGATGATAACATTGATGATGATGATAATTATGATGATAAATAAATGGATTGATAAAATTTAATGTTAAAAGTATATCTGAGAAATAAAATTGGTAACTAAAATGTTAATGAGGTTTATTTACATTTTAAGAACAAATATTGAACACTCGCTATTTATTGGTAATTGTTTCCTTACATCTTTAAAAATTAAATATTCTCAGTTTAATACTTGTGCAGAAAGATTGCTTTAAATGTTTGACCAAAGAAAACTGAAGGTTTGGAACATCTGAACTTTCAGAAGGCAAAAATTTAGACTTCTATTTACTAAGTCAAGTACAGCAATATGATTAATATGAGAAACAAAATACCAACCCAGGCACGCCCGTTTCTGACTTCAAATAACCTACCCCTCACTATTGTGTCCTGAAATAACGACAGGGGCATTGTTTGGTTTTTCATGTGAGGAAGCTATTGAGGTCGGTTGTTTATAAATTCTCATATCTCAAAAAATACATGGGGAGACACCTAAGCCTTTCTTCCAAATGCGAATATCTAAAGCTGCCCTATATCCTTAACAGTGTCGATGTGACCAAAAAAAAGTTAGAATTGAATTCAAATAATATATTGTTGAAGAAATGTTCAATTGTCCGGTTCCGGCCTAAGCCAAGTTTTAACGCGTCTTCTAAACTTTTTTCTCATTAAAACAATATTATATGAATAACTAAATTGGTTTGGATACGGAACTTAAACAGAATGATTAGCCGATGGCGACAATTTAAATAGTGACGTGTCCAAGAACAGATGTTGACCTCAAAAATGCTTTTGTTCTCAGTAGACGCTTGCAACTAGTATACTTTATCATTATTATCGCCGCCATAGATGTTAATCTTGTTAATTTCTTTAAAGGAAAGTACCAGACAGAGCGACAGATGAAATAAATTAAAGTTGCCACGTTCTTTGACATTCACGTCGTAACTTAGACCAACATTTAAATTTTCACCCGTAAGGATTTCAAGTGTAATGTTGGTGTTTTGATTTCCTTGCTAGTGTAGACAGTGCAATGTATTTTTAATGCCTTGCACTTTATTACATAACAAAGTACACTGCATTGAAACATACACTCTACAAGTTACTAAAAAAAGTAACATTCATCTCAATCTAAACCTTAAGTTTAAACAATGTTTTATTTATAAAAAATCATTTAAATGATAAATTACAAGCATTCAAAGTACGAATTAATTAAGAAGAACGTTTAGAAAGTTTTTTATACACATTCTTCATCTCTAAAACTTTGCTGTCGATGAGTACTCTATATAAGTCTTTAGATAAAACTTTATACGTGTCCTTTAGTATGCAAATATGGAATTTAATAAATACTCGTGAATAACATTTCAACATGTTGCCATGATATATGTACAGGTCGTAGCGTGTTTATCACATTCATTAACCTCCTCTCGACACTGAGCAGATGTCATTGCCTAAACAGTATACACCATATGATACCACCCTGAGGTATACCTACACACCTTTGATATACATCGTTAACACACACAAAACATTTTTTAAACAGCAATAAAATATATTAAACATTGGAATCAAATGTTGGGCATTTATTTGTGAAGATTCATTAATAGTCGAAAGCTCAGAGCAAAATATAATCCACGTAGGCAATAGAAATTTCATTTTAAATGCTTAGTTGAAAAAAAAGAACAACAAAAAATAAAATGTATCTATGTTTTCAAGATTAAAGAAGATTTAAGGTTTCATGCCCTTGTTAAAACAATGTGGTAAGCATTATCTTGTCAAAGAAAAGTGTATTACAAACTCGATTTGTTCTCATTCATATGACCCTGTCAATCACTGGTTATTCTATTATATGCTTAATTTGCTACGGTTTATGTAATTAATTAATCTTAAATTTGTCATAAATGAGTCTTTAATTAATTTTATGCCACAACGACACTGTACAGATCATATGGTGACTTTCAAGCTTTACTGGCGGAGGAAGATCTCAGATGCTCTTTCATGTACCCGCGTTGAACAATAGTTTCTGCACTTAAAAGACAAAATAATAAGCTATTATCCATTTCTATGATTTCATAATATAATCAGTGGTGTATGCTTTTTTAAACATACTAGATACATATTACAACTGATATATAACATTTTCCCTGTCCATTCTTGATTGCCGAACCACTCAATATTCCATTCAATATTTTATAGAGCATATATGAACATATTTAAATGCTCTTTACCCACATTTATAACATGCAAGGCGGTGACATTTATTACAATGGGAAGAGCATGATTATGTTATTACAATTAACTATATAAATAAAGAACACTATTCACATGTTTATAGCCAATAACAACATTAGTACTGAAGCTGAATATATAAAAGAAAATTAATTATATCAAAACAAATTATTTTTAATTCAACGTTAAAAAAACAAGTTAAACTTTACAAATATTTGTAAACGAACACTTTTCCTAAAAGGATAAGTTGACATCCCTGATCACTATAATGTATACAAAGCATATACATGATATAATGGACCAAACAAGGGAGATAAAAAATTTTTTTTTTTAATAATACTCGTAGACAGTTTCTAAGAGAAAAATATAGAGTTGCATAATATTTCAATCTTTAGTTCAGATGCGCAGTAATTTAACTTTGTCGGCCAAAGTGTATTTTCAAAACATCTAAACGATTGTCCTAGCAATAATATGCAATGTCGCAAGAAAATCCACTTTCAAAAGTGTTTCTTTTCTTTAAAATTAATGAATTTGAACGAATGTTAAAACAAATGCTAGTATACAAACATACGGGTTGTTTTTACTTTATATAAAAAAGCTAGCTTGTTATTTTTGTTGTTGTTATTATTATTATTATTATTATTTTATTATTATTATTATTATTATTATTATTATTATTATTATTATTATTATTATTATTATTATTATTATTATTATTATAATTATTATTATTATTATTATAAGCATAGTATTTTTTCATGAACTCTTTAATCGCGTAAAGAGAAAATACTATTATTGTTCATTGTACGCGTTTATTATTATTTATTTTAGAATTGTGTATTTCAAATATTTTGTTACTGTCCTAAAGGTATTTTAGCATGTTTTGTTCAACATCATGCTACTTTTTTTAAAACGCCACATGTTGCCTTATAGCGTACCCTTTTTCAAAGTTGAAATAAATCATTTAGATTTATGATATGTATGTTATGCAATACAAAGTCCCCCCAGAGGAGACACGTTTTAACACTCGATGGCTATATAAGGTCGGGCATACGTAGGCCGCAGCACAACAGTTGGAAAAACAAAAACCTGCGTTTGTAAACCGCAATCAAGTTAGTATCGTGAATTTATATTTTAAATGTTTCATTCATTTTGCTGTTTTCTGAACATTAACTTTATAATACAGTACGTACTTGTAGGAAACTAAATATTTGTTTGTTTTTACTTTCTTATGGAATTAATTGTTGGACTGTACATTTTTAAGTAAAATTCACAATGATTAATACATAATTTATATTTCATAATTATATTCGGGGAACTTACTTGTCGTGCTCAGCCTACGCAAATGATAATGCTTATTAGATATGACTTAAACCCTTATTGAATTGAGTAATTTATCATATAGATGTAGTCATATTTTCCTTTTTAAAATATATAAAGGGCTTAAATATTCAGAAATGATCCTCATTCAGCCTCGAGTATAATTATCATTATTATTTTATTTTATTTCATTTTTTTTTATTTTTGAAACATTACTTTTGAAAAATTATACATTTGTACCTTACCGATCAGCGAATAAATATTATAGAACAAATAAAATATTTTAATATTCTTGTTATAGATTCAACATAATCATCATGTCTCGACTTAGTATCTTTGTGCTCTTGGTAGCGGCTGCCGCTTACGTCATCGCAGACGAATGTGAAAAGTAAGTTGCATTGTTACAAATATAATTAAGCCGTGTCATGACAAAACCAACATAATGGGTGTGCGACCAACATGGATCCAGACCAGTCTGCGCATCCGCGCAGTCTGATCAGGATCCATGCTGTTCGCTATCCGTTTCTCTACTTATAATGGGGTTTGTAAGCGAACAGCATCGATCCTGATCAGACTGCGCAGATGCGCAGGCTGGTCTGGATCCATGCTGGTCGCAAACCCATTATGTTGGTTTTGTTTTGACGCGGCTCATTTATGTTGTTTTTTTTTTTACCCATAAAGATAATGCCAAATATGGTCACATGACATTGAGTCTAATAATTTTAAACTGTTATTCCATCATTGTGATTTTGTAAAACATACGATTTGTTTTTTTGACGATCGTGTTTTCTAATGAATGTTTCAGTTTGTATAACATTTTGCTATCTTAGCAACTAAACAGCTTTCTCATAAACTGAAGAAGTCAGTTTTAATGTTATTGGTATTCATGTCTAATGTAAATGGTTCAATGTATAAACATATCGTGTAATTTTATTTTCAGCTGTGCATGTGGCCAAGAATGTGATGGAACTGCGTGTGCTGACGGTATGTATATTGTAAATACATGTACATGAATATTATTTCAAGTGTAATATAGAAAACAAAGTCACATATTTATTAATAATTATTAATAAATAGATGCCTGTATAAGAATCATTCCGGAAAATAGAATTTAATAGTATCAAACTCTGTTAA